ACACACACACACACACACACACACACACACACACACACACACACACACACACACACACACACACACACACATGATTTTAAAAATTGTTTTATTGAGTCTCCATCCAGATGTAACCAGTCCTTATTCACACGTTTGTTTCAAACCACAAATGAGAGAAACCCTTTAACGCAGGATGTAGCTTTAGAAGCTGCTGGAAGGGGYCTTATGGAGCTAATGAAGTATCTGGAGAGGTTTTATTCACCTGCAGACATGAGGAGAGAAGCAGGGAGGAAGGAAATACTTGGGGGACAAAAGGAAAAGATGCAGGGTTTTAGGGAAACAAGAAAAAACATTTTCCTGGGCCAGGGCCTCGATGACAGCTAAAGGAAGGATTTAAAAGCTGAAAGAAGGCAGCCTCATCATTAGCAGCTCAGTCTCACAGGAACAAACAGGCGGCTGGCACTAAGGCAACCAGTCAATGAAATGTCAAGTTTAGAAGAACATCAAGAAACTAGAACTGCAAGCAGTTGTCATCGGGGACCAAGCCATTTAGTGCACATCAAGCCTGCCTCGTGTCGTCACCAGCTCATCAACTCTGTACTACAGACTTTTTAGCATGATGAGAAGTAAATATAGGGTTGATTTGAGACCGTGCCTCAGGTCCTCATCTAGACGCAGCATCTGCACAGGATCTTAGCTCTTCATAGGACTGTGCTCTGCTCGTCAATGAATGTTTTRTCCTAGTGTCCTGCAGATGTTGTACTTTCAAGCACCGCAGCGTCCATGTGTATGGCCRTGTATATGTGTGTTTATAAATACATGCAAAGGTGTCCTGTAGGGATGCACCGATATGAAAATTTCAGCCGATATCGATATCCAATATAATTATTGGTGTTATGGCCGATAACCAATATTTACCGATATCACACAAATTATATTATATATATACACACAAACACACTTGGGTCTTTTTTTGATACTGTAAATAAATGACCAGACCTCTAACATGACTCCCTACTTCAGTTATTCCTGGCTGCGCAGCGTAAATATCACTATCATGATCAAACAGATGCCACTCAACCAACAGTCTCACCTCCCAAAACAGAAACACAAAGATAAAAAATGGGAAATCAATATCGGACGTTAATATCAGCCCCGTTTCACATATCGGACCGATACCGATATTCTAAAAAATGACCAATATCGGCCGATACCGATATCAACACCGATAAATCATGCATCCCTAGTGTCCTGCATATATTCTCCACTGCACAGTCTAAGATAAAATCCAAATGCAGGAAAATGAGAAATGTAATAGAATGTGAGGTCAGAGATGCTCCTAAATAAGCAGGGTTTGTGCAGGGTCTTAAAAAGTCTAAAAAAAGTCTAAAATTTGAAAATCTAAATTTTAGTCCTAAAGTCTTAAAAATGCACAGATTTTCATCAAAGGTCTTAAATTTAATTTTGTCAAGTCTTAATTTTTTTCCTTTCGATCATTCCCGAGAAGCATTGGCTGCTTATTTGAACAGAGTAAAGTGCTGTAATCAGAGCTTGACTCGATCTGGCTTCATGAAGTGATGAGTTTGGTCTTTGTACGTGTTAAACTACAAGTCCTGTGATAACTGCAGGCAAAATACGGCACAGTTTAATTCCATGTTTTCTACCTCTTTGCCGCTACGAGCCCCCGTATACGGCAGCTTGTTCACCCGCTCAAAAAACAAAGACGTTCAGTCATGTCCACTGCTTGTGGTTTAAACATGGAAAGTGTGTTTTCAATGAGACWTGGCTGATATCAGTGATTTTTACACTCTGTTGGAAGCGCTACACAGCAGTCGTTATGAAGGTCTCATAGATATGAACGTTTCATTAAAATAATTTTGTGTTCTTGTATTAAAAATAAATATTCTTTAATAATTAAATTGATGCAATAAAAGGTTTTTATGTGAAAATTTATGGGACCATTTGAATGTTTTTATTAATGCGTCGTTTTGGTCTTAAATGTCCTTCTGGATGGTCTTAAAGGGTCTTAAAGGGTCTTAAATTTATCTTATGGAAACCTGCATGAACCCTGATAAGGCAGTGGGTGTAAAACGTGCGTGGAGCGGCTGTAGTGGAGTGGTTGGGGGGTCGTCCCATTCCAGCTGTCTCAGTCGTTGTGTCCTTGAGCAAGACACTTCACCTGCCTTACCTACTGATGGTGCTCAAAGGGTCCAGTGGAGCCACTGCCTCTGTCAGTGTGCCGCAGGGCAGCTGTGGCTACAGTGTAGCTTACCACTGAGAGGCAGATTGTTCTCTGTTATCAAGATGAAATAAAGATGAGGAGACGTCACTTTTGGCCAGCCGAAGAGGGAGTTTTATTGAGTTCAGCAGATCGATACAACCGACAGAAACATCCCAACTGAACTGACGTATTTAGAAACCAGACCCTTTTATACCCAAACTGTTTTCATAACACAAATTCTACGTAACCAGGAAGGGTGGTCACTTCCAAGAATTGGGCTGGAAATTTAAGACCACCCAATACACACTTATTAAATCTATTTGTAGACTGTTTGATGACCTCACCTTTTACAGCATGTTCTTACCAGATGTTTATACGACCCTTATTCTGACCTTTTGTCCCAGCTCCTAACAAGTACTGCTACAATCCTCAACACCACCATCAGTGTGTGAATGGGTGAAATGTAAAGCAAGTCCATGTGGGTTTGATAAGGCGCTAAGTCATTCACCATGAAGTGACGGTGTGTGTGAAGCTGTGTTTGACACACACCCACTGAGTAACATAAAGGTTTAATGATTAGTGGGAGTAAAGTGAAGCTCATCACCATTTATCCAATACTGTGCATGAATTATACACTATTATTGTAAATGAATGCAGTGGACCAGGGCAGCAGACCTGACTTCTGAAGCTGAGACTTTTCTAATTTTATGTATGTGTTTAGAAGCATAAACACTGTTTACAGAGAGGCACTGGGGGCCTTGGTAGACCTTTGAAGCTTATATGGATGAGGATGACCTATATGTCTGGTTCATGGATGACTGTGAAATACCAGACCTCTTAAGCCTGGGTTATACTTCAATACGACATGAGACAGTGGGTCTGTGATTGCGTCATTTCAGACATCTTTTTCCTGACAGAGTGTAAACAGACTGAAGACGCCGTGGGACATAAATTATAATTCTTCCCACAGCTCATATAAGTATATAAACAACAATAATGATGGCTGGATATTGTGTTTTTTTGTTTTTTCACTCAACAATCAGTGTTGGGTGAAGCGTCCGCGGAAGAAAAACCTTTTTTTTTGTTAAGCTGTGGTGATGAAAGAAAGACGTAAACATAAGCTGCACACTCACGTTCAATAGAATCAAACCAGCTGCTCTTCTAGCTCTTTTAACAACTGGCTTTAGACAAAATAAATAAATCTTTTTAAACAAAATAAGCTGCAGAAGGAGGATCTGCTCTGGTCCAGCTGCTCAGCG